ACTTCTCGATGGTCGATATCCAAAATACACACGATATGGATTAAGGATAAATATAAAAACTCTACAAAAAAGGTTACAAGTTTTCCATTGTCGGGAATTGAACCCGAGTCTCCTGGGTGAAATCCAAATATCCTAACCGCTAGACGACAATGGATATTTCTATATCCTCAACGCCTCTAAACTTCTCGATGGTCGATATCCAAAATACACACAATTTGGATTAAGGATAAACATAAAAACTCTACAAAAAAGGTTACAAGTTTTCCATTGTCGGGAATTGAACCCGAGTCTCCTAGGTGAAATCCAAATATCCTAACCGCTAGACGACAATGGATATTTTTATATCCTCAACGCCTCTAAACTTCTCGATGGTCGATATCCAAAATACACACGATATGGATTAAGGATAAATATAAAAACTCTACAAAAAAGGTTACAAGTTTTCCATTGTCGGGAATTGAACCCGAGTCTCCTGGGTGAAATCCAAATATCCTAACCGCTAGACGACAATGGATATTTCTATATCCTCAACGCCTCTAAACTTCTCGATGGTCGATATCCAAAATACACACGATATGGATTAAGGATAAATATAAAAACTCTACAAAAAAGGTTACCAAGTTTTCCATTGTCGGGAATTGAACCCGGGTCTCCTGGGTGAAAAGACAGATATCCTAACCGCTGAACGACAATAGATATTTCTATGTTCTCAACGCCTCTAAACTTCTCGATGGTCGATACCCAAAATACACACGATATGGATTAAGGATAAATATAAAAACTCTACAAAAAAGGTTACACAAGTTCTCCATTGCTGGAAATTGAACCCGGGTCTCCTGGGTGAAAGCCAGATATCCTAACCGCTGGAAGACAATGGATATTTCTATGTCCTCAACGCCTCTAAACTTCTCGATGGTCGATATCCAAAATACACACGATATGGATTAAGGATAAATATAAAAACTCTACAAAAAAGGTTACAAGTTTTCCATTGCCGGGAATTGAACCCGGGTCTCCTGGGTGAAAGCCAGATATCCTAACCGCTGGACGACAATGGATATTTCTATGTCCACAACGCCTCTAAACTTCTCGATGGTCGATATCCAAAATACACACGATATGGATTAAGGATAAATATAAAAACTCTACAAAAAAAGGTTACCAAGTTTTCCATTGTCGGGAATTGAACCCGAGTCTCCTGGGTGAAAAGACAGATATCCTAACCGCAATGGATATTTCTATGTCCTCAACGCCTCTACACTTCTCGATGGTCGATATCCAAAATACACACGATATGGATTAAGGATAAATATAAAAACTCTACAAAAAAGGTTACACAAGTTCTCCATTGTTGGAAATTGAACCCGGGTCTCCTGGGTGAAAACCAGATATCCTAACCGCTGGACGACAATGGATATTTCTATGTCCTCAACGCCTCTAAACTTCTCGATGGTCGATATCCAAAATACACACGATATGGATTAAGGATAAATATAAAAACTCTACAAAAAAGGTTACACAAGTTCTCCATTGCTGTAAATTGAACCCGGGTCTCCTGGGTGAAAACAAGATATCCTAACCGCTGAACGACAATGGATATTTCTATGTCCTCAACGCCTCTAAACTTCTCGATGGTCGATATCCAAAATACACACGATATGGATTATGGATAAATATAAAAACTCTACAAAAAAGGTTACAAGTTTTCCATTGCCGGGAATTGAACCCGGGTCTCCTGGGTGAAAGCCAGATATCCTAACCGCTGGACGACAATGGATATTTCTATGTCCACAACGCCTCTAAACTTCTCGATGGTCGATATCCAATATACACACGATATGGATTAAGGATAAACATAAAAACTCTACAAAAAAGGTTACAAGTTTTCCATTGCTGAGAATTGAACCCGGGTCTCCTGGGTGAAAGACAGATATCCTAACCGCTGGACGACAATGGATATTTCTATGTCCACAACGCCTCTAAACTTCTCGATGGTCGATATCCAAAAGACACACGATATGGATTAAGGATAAACATAAAAACTCTACAAAAAAGGTTACAAGTTTTCTATTGCCGGGAATTGAACCCGGGTCTCCTGGGTGAAAGCCAGATATCCTAACCGCTGGATGACAATGGATATTTCTATGTCCACAACGCCTCTAAACTTCTCGATTGTCGATATCCAAAATACACACGATATGGATTAAGGATAAACATAAAAACTCTACAAAAAAGGTTACAAGTTTTCCATTGCCGAGAATTGAACCCGGGTCTCCTGGGTGAAAGCCAGATATCTTAACCGCTGGACGATAATGTTTATTTCTATGTTCTCAACCCCTCTAAACTTCCCGATGGTCGATATCCAAAATACACACGATATGGATTAAGGATAAATATAAAAACTCTACAATAAAGGTTACAAGTTTTCCATTGCCAGGAATTGAACACTTGTCTCTTGGGTGAAAGCCAGATATCCTAACCGCTGGACGACAATGGATATTTCTATGTCCTCAACACCTCTAAACTTCTTGAAGGTCGATATCCAAAATACACACGATATGGATTAAGGATAAATATAAAAACTCTACAAAAAAGGTTACAAGTTTTCCATTGCCGGGAATTGAACCCGAGTCTCCTGGGTGAAAGCCAGATATCCTAACCGCTGGACAACAATGGATATTTCTATGTCCTCAACGCCTCTAAACTTCTCGATGGTCGATATCCAAAATACACACGATATGGATTAAGGATAAATATAAAAACTCTACAAAAAAGGTTACAAGTTTTCCATTGTCGGGAATTGAACCCGGGTCTCCTGGGTGAAAGCCAGATATCCTAACCGCTGGACGACAATAGATATTTCTATGTCCTGAACGCCTCTAAACTTCTCGAAGGTCGATATCCAAAATACACACGATATGGATTAAGGATAAATATAAAAACTCTACAAAAAAGGTTACAAGTTTTCCATTGTCGGGAATTGAACCCGGGTCTCCTGGGTGAAAGCCAGATATCCTAACCGCTGGACGACAATAGATATTTCTATGTCCTGAACGCCTCTAAACTTCTCGATGGTCGATATCCAAAATACACACGATATGGATTAAGGATAAATATAAAAACTCTACAAAAAAGGTTACAAGTTTTCCATTGCCGGGAATTGAACCCGAGTCTCCTGGGTGAAAGCCAGATATCCTAACCGCTGGACGACAATGGATATTTCTATGTCCTCAACGCCTCTAAACTTCTCGAAGGTCGATATCCAAAATACACACGATATGGATTAAGGATAAATATAAAAACTCTACAAAAAAGGTTACAAGTTTTCCATTGCCGGGAATTGAACCCGGGTCTCCTGGGTGAAAGCCAGATATCCTAACCGCTGGACGACAATGGATATTTCTTTGTCCTCAACGCCTCTAAACTTCTCGATGGTGTATATCCAAAATACACACGATATGGATTAAGGATAAATATAAAAACTCTACAAAAAAGGTTACAAGTTTTCCATTGCCAAGAATTGAACGTAGGTCTCCTAAATGAAAGCCAAATATCCTAACCGCTAGACAACAATGGATATTTCTATGTCTTCAACGCCTCTAAACTTCTCGATGATCGATATCTAAAATACACACGATATGTATTAAGGATAAATCTAAATACTCTACAAATAGACAACAAGTTTTCCATTGCCGAGAATTGAAATCGAGTGTTCGGGTGAAAACCAGATATCCTAACCGATGGACGACAATGTATATTTCTTTGTCCTCAACGCCTCTAGACTTCTCGATGTTCAATATCTAAAATACACACGATATGGATTAAGTTTAAAACTAAATACTCTACAAAAAGATAACAAGTTTTTCATTGCATTCCCAAGTCTCCTGTACTGCCTACTCTAAAAAAGATAACAACGGATATTTCTTTGTCCTTAACTACTCTAAACTTTTCAAATAGTCAATATCCAAAACACACATGATATGGATTAAGGACAAATCTAAATACTCTACAAAAAGTAAAAAAATTTACCACTGTCGAGAACTAAACCCGAGTCTCCTGGGTGAAAATCATATATCCTAACCATTGGACTGACGATGGATATTTATTTGTCTTCAACACCTCTAAATTTCTCGATGATTATAAATATATATAAAATACAAATGATTAAGGATAAAATCTAAAAATCGTACAAAAATATACCAAGTTTTCCATATCCAAGAATTGAACCCGAATCTCTTGGGCAAAAGCCACATATCCTAACTACTAGACGATAACAAATATTTCTTTATCCTCAACACCTCTAAAGTTGCCGATAGATATCCAAAATACAAATGATATGGATTAATGATATCATTCAAGATGGTATCAAGTTTTCCATGGCCAGAAAATTGAACCAAATACAACCAAATACAAACAAGATGGCTATTGGGTTTTCCATAGATGTTTTTTTTATCTTCAAAGCCTCTAAAGGATAAAGTCAAAATATCCTACCAAATGGTACCGCCTTGAACCTAGGTGTCCCGAGTGATAGCAAGCACATGTACATTTTTAATGAAACAAATCCAACGAATTGACATGGTATCCAACGAATTGACATGGTTGAATCAAATTGGTGAACCATACCAATTGCATAGCAATGTCCTCTGTCTTCTTTGTTCCCTTTCTAAATGACAATATATATTGCCCATGACGGGACCGACATTAGACAACAAGCGAGCAGTTTGGATGGTGAGACCGAAGTTCACTTAAAAATCACAATCAAATCGGGCCAAACTTGCCCAATTTTCAGGTCAGCTAATATATTGTATGTTTTAGAAATGAAAAATCAATTTCCCAAAAACTGAAAATTCAAATATCGGGTTCAAACGCATCAAATATAACAAGCACAATCTACTTCAAATTCAGTTTTACAGACAACTTCATAAAAGAAGCTCCATTGGTTGTATTGTTTGCATATTAAAAAGACCACAGCAGTGACCGCAAGTAGCTAGAAGCTCAAATAACAAGAACAATAATAAATGAAATTTCAACACGGTAGCAAGAGAAATCATGTTCGATTACTAGAAAGCTATAGTTCAAAATTTAAGTTTCAGTAACAAAACACCTCAGCTACTCGAAATCCTAAAACAACAGAAATAAAGAACAAAAATTCACGGACGATATAAAATGACCAGAACCAGGATGGTAGATATAATAAACTTAGGCCTTGACACGACCATAGAACTTCTGTTTCTCCTGGGTAGTCTGGAAACGTCCATGACCAAACTTGGAGGATGTATCAATGAACTTAAGTTTGATCTCTTCAAGAGCCACACGGGAAGTTTGTTTGAGAAGAGATTGACGAAGGGTAATCACCCTCTTCTTGGGTCCAACACAGCCTCCCTTGATCATCAAGTAGTCACTCTTAACAATACCGTAGTGAGGGAACCCACCCATTGGAGTAATTTCCTTCTCAGTCCTGTTTCAAACACAATACGGCAGATAAGAAAACACATTTTTAGATGGAAGATACAATTTTAAATTAAAATTTGGACTTCACTAGATTTAACCTGTCAAATTCAGTGATAGCGGTATGTGTTTCCTGTCCTGTCTTTCCAACTCTGTAGATCTTTTTGTTCATTTCAGTTCGGTGGTGATAACCATTCTGACCAGCCCTGGCAACAGTGAACGACACTCTGGCAGGATGCCAAGCACCGATACAAGCCACCTTCCTAAGACCCCTGTGAGTCTTACGGGGCAAACGAGTAACACCCCAACGAGTGACGACACCTTCATAACCTTTACCCTTGGTCACACCGATAAGGTCAATCATCTCATCCTTCTGGAATACAGCTTCTACTGGAACTTGCTTCTCAAAGAACCCATATGCATAGTCCACCTTCTGAGCAATTGTACCACCATTGACCTGGATCTCCATCATGTGTGCTTTCTTTTGCTTCAATCCCTTCATCTTGGTAATCTACAAAACAAGGAATTCCAATTAACATTTAAATTAGTAATAAACCATAAAACATCACAAAGTACAGTCAGTTGCAATTGATAAATAAAATGAGAACAAAAGGAGGAAACAGGTTCATTTACAAAGGCAAGAGAAATAGTTCATCAATAGTCTGAAAATTCAACGGAAATCAGGTGCCCATGAGCAGAACAACTATTTGAGTTAACCAACAAATTCAAAAACATAAGAATTGATATTTACCAACAATGGAGAAAATAAATGAACATACTGACTCTAAAAATATTGACTTTTTGTTTCATTAACGTACATAAATACTAGCTCTTTTCACTTCCATGACATTACCTGAGTATGGGCCAAGACACGGATCACAGATGCATATTTCTTAAGCTTCTCAAGCTTCTCCTGGATGCTCTTCTTTCCCTCATCAGTTTCATATTGCTTCGAGTATTTAGTGAAAGCCTTCTTCTTTGACTTGCACCAGTTCTTATAGAATCTCCTCCTTAATTCCTCACTCAAATGCTGTGCCCATACAGTGCCCAGAGTGCGGAGACCACGTGGGGTCTTCACATATCCAACAACACCAACAATTACCATTGGAGGAGTCTCAATGATGGTCACAGGCTCACATGTTTCCTTCTTGTGAAGTTCTACAGAGTAAATACAGAAAACAAGCACAAAGTAAGACCTTGATGTAACCTCTTAAGACAAGTTAACGAAATTCATGCAAAGAGGGAACTACTCTCAATAGATTAATAAATTCAAAGCAATACATACTAGATCCTGGCTTCTCGACCTCTCTGACAATGTGTGTCATTCCAGCCTTGTAACCCAAAAAGGCAGTCAACCTGCATGGCTTGCTGGCGTCATCCTTGGGAAAAGCCTTCACTGCAGGTTGGAAAACAAAACACAGTAAACTCAGCTATGGATTACAAAAAGAAAACTGAAACAAAACAACACAAATGTTGAGTAATTCTCAACACAAATGACCGATGAGATATGGGAAAACTAGACAGAACAAAGCGCTAATGTGTGGTTATATGGCTCATTAGTTGTTCTTACCAAGAGAGATTTATGTTCACTAGAATGTTCTAACCTAGTCAAAACCCAATAATAATACCTTTTCCGCGGTGACGAGCTGCTCTTTTCCTTGGAAGAAATCCAAGGGAACCGTGCCTTGGGTGCTCAAATTTCCTGTGAGACATTCTCTTCTTCCTTCACATAAGAAACAACCATTTAATCAATAATAAGAATTATATTTCATCAACGATAAACAATATGTAAAAGCCACCGGTTAAAATCCTAAACAAACAGGAACTATTACTTCAAAACAATGCAAAGTAAATTTATTGTAAGCTGAAAACGAAATAAAAGTTAGAATACTTTTGATCAGACAAATACCATTAGTAAAAAACCAGCGCTTAAAATCCAAAGGGTAACAAAATCACCATATTCAGAAAAAGAAAAAAAAACTTAATAGCACGAAATAATGCAACTATAGATTGTTCAGAAAAGGAACAAAGAGACGTGTTCTTCACATAAATAAACAAATAACTTCACTCTCACAAAAACCCAGATACGAGAGAATCAGACGACGCCATAGAACAAAGTCCAAACTAGTTCATTATAACAAACCTCCGAAGCAAAGACAGTAATTAGGGTTGAAGGAGAGAAACAAAGAGCGAAGAAGAAGGGGAAGAACGAAGGAAGGAACCCGTACCCCAACTGGTGCTACTCCAACTGCGGCTACTGCAACTGCACTAGGCGGATGAGAAACCCTAGATATTGTAATATATAGATAACAAAATTTGTGACCAGCCCCACAGCTAAGCTTTAAAAAGTTTGTTGGGCCTATTTGGCAAAATAAGCTTTAATGGGCCGAAATGGCGGCCCATTATAAAAGCCCACCCGAACCGTGATTTTAGGGCACGGCGAATATAAAAGGACTTGACTCGAAGCGTTGTCCGTAGAATTGACGTTGTTTTAGGGTTAGAGTTTAGAGTTTTGGGTCAATTTTTCTGGAGAGGGAATGATGAGAAATTCTCAGTGCGAGAGCAAAGCAGCTGAATGATTTGGTTGCGATGTGCCTGCACCTATTCCACACGAGATTTCTGACTCTTCTCTTTAAACTTTTAAGTTCTTTGTTTTTGTTTTGTTGATGGAGGGAATGATGAGAAATTCTCAGTGCGAGAGCAAAGCAGCTGAATGATTTGGTTGCGATGTGCCTGCACCTATTCCACACGAGATTTCTGACTCTTCTCTTTAAACTTTTAAGTTCTTTGTTTTTGTTTTGTTGATGGAGGGAATGATGAGAAATTCTCAGTGCGAGAGCAAAGCAGCTGAATGATTTGGTTGCGATGTGCCTGCACCTATTCCACACGAGATTTCTGACTCTTCTCTTTAAACTTTTAAGTTCTTTGTTTTTGGTGCCTGCACCTATTCCACACGAGATTTCTGACTCTTCTCTTTAAACTTTTAAGTTCTTTGTTTTTGTTTTGTTGATGTATTCCACACGAGATTTCTGACTCTTCTCTTTAAACTTTTAAGTTCTTTGTTTTTGTTTTGTTGATGATTTTCTTCTGTGAAATCTGTTTGGATGCTTAGAATTCTAGTAATTTAGTGCTTGATTTCGGATTTTTTCTGGTAAGAATTCTAATTTGATTATTGAACTTTTCCAGCATGTGTTTCTCTTCGAATTGGTTTTCGTTAAAGCTTTTCCAGCATTTGTTGGATCTAAACTCGATTTAGATGGCACAAGGCCCTGTTAAGAAGAGTTGCACTCTACGAAGAATGAAGAACGTTTTAGGAGCAGAAACTCCTATTTTTTAACATCAAAATTATCGATCTTAGGGAAAGAAATTAGTGTAAGCTAGCAAGGAATCCCAAGCCAGAGTTTGAATTTTATAAAATAGTTATAAATTTTGAATTAGAATCAAACGTTAAAAGTAATGAAACATTAATGCCGAGAAAACTCATGTTGTTGTTGAAGCAAACCCTCAATGACACATAACAAATATCCTCCTCACTCTAATCTTGTTGACGGACTCCTCGGACATATGAAAGACACATACTCACATACTCACATACTATGTTGGAAGCAGTTCTGCGAACACGTCAAAGATACGTACTCACATAAGTGAACAGTATGAAGCCCATATTCCCAGAGGGAGCATCCAGACACTATTTCATGTCTCAATTAGAGATATCCACGGGTGAAGATGGGCCACCTATTCTCTTCAAAAAAAAAAATAATAATAATAATAATCCGTTTATTTTGTGGGATTTCTAACGGGAATTTTAGGTTAAATTATGTAGGAGAATTGGAGCGATTCCTCCTCAATTTAAAAAATAGTTAAATAAAGTTTTTATTTTTCAATATAATTTTTATTAAAAATTATTTAAAAAATCATAATAAATTATATAAAACAAACATATATATATATATATATATATATATATATATTTTACCAATCTAATTTCTAAAATTTTAAAAGAAATTTAAATTTTAATATTATAAGATAGCTTTTGCCCATTAAATTAAAGTTTAATGTTATAACATGGTATTTGTGTGAATTCTAAAATCTAGAGATTCTGTGAATGTTTGGTTCTTATATACTTAAAAAAATTAATTTTGAGATATAGATAGGAACAAATATATCTCAATAATGAACTTTAGTAAACATTGAAAAAAATGTTGTTCAAATTACCTTTTAATATAAACGTAAGTTGCAATTTATGTCGTCATAGAAGAATCAAACACTCTAGCATTAGGGTCTATTCATTAATGTATTTTAAGATGATTACATGGAATTCCTATATTGGAAAATATTGTTGAATAAATTGAAGTGGTTAATAGAACATTGAGATGTTGCTTATTGCTATTATTTCTAATAATATTAAGTCTTGGGGTGAATATTTGTCTACTAACACGTCTTGATTTGCTTTCTATTCAGTAGACTTGATCAAATTCATGCATAAAGAGACAAGTAAGGTAGACTTGATCAAGTCCATGCAAAACAAGGTAGACAATAAAATTTTAAAGTTGTTTCAAGCATTAACAAGGGATGGGAGGAACTCGTTTTTCAACTCGATGACTGAGTTTAGATACATTTTTGCAATGAGTGGTCCTCATCTCAAAGGAAAACAAAGTTACATTCCAGAAGGAACAATCATTAACAAGTTCAAGAAACAGAAAGAACAATGTTCTATAAAATTGATTTTCAGAGAGAAACGTCATGTTGCTAACTTAGTCCTTTAGATGTAGTGGGGGAGTTACTAACTTCTTGTAATGACCATTTGAAGGGTAGTGGTAAGTTCGCGAATCATGGTCATAGTTTCTTTTAGTTCGCATTTGAAGGGTAGTGGTAAGGAGACTATAAATACCCACATAATCAGATCTTTTATAAATTAAATTGAGCTATAAGTTGAGACTTTCCCTCTTGAAAATTTGAGCATCATTTCTAATTTTTCGAGCAATTCTTGTGTTAGAAAAATAGGTATGTCCCCTCACAAAGAGGTGAAGAGTAATTGATCAGATTTGTGGACGTTCTTATTACGAAACACTGGTAATACTCAAACTCATTCCTTATCGAGCATGTAACGCGAAAGTCAACCAAAGTATGTGAAACAATTAAAACCTCGAGCTCGAGGGCAAAGTTGTCCCACAAAACAACCCACTTGTTCTATAACTATGGTTGAAAGATATTGCACCCATTCAATCAAGCTTTAGGGTGAGTGAAGGTTCCAAATTTTTCTCCTAGATCTTTGATAGGTAACTTATTCTAGTCTTTATCTCGTTATTGATCTAAATTTTGTATGAGATGTTAATTTTTTTAGTTCAAGAGGTTCCTATTTCGACAAAATCTTGGGTCGTTAAACTGAAGACTAAAATGACATTACTCGTTCGAATCTAAACGCATAAATCTTAAACTCAAAATAAGACAAAATTGCAAAAAGCATACACACCACCAGCAATGAACCCCAAAATCCCCAAATTATGAAACCAATAATAAAACAAGTGGAGAAAGGATGTGCAAGGAAGTCCTTCATTATTGCATTAAAATGGCAACCAAAATTATTGTGATTACAAGAACGCAGAATTGGAGAGCTTAAAAATGAAACCACAAAGAAAGAACAGAACCCTAAGAGAGATTTACAAACAACAAAGATACAACAACGACAACGACGACGACAATAATCTTCGACAAAACCACCAAAAAGGGAACGAAAAGTCCCTTATTGAGAAAGGGATAAAATTTATGATGAACAGGAAGAAGTCCCTTGTTCTTATGTTTATGTGCTCTCTTGGATTTCACAGACACAAAGACACAAAGATATATAAATTACAGTCTCTTCCACAAAAATAAAAAACCCTTGTATAGAACAAGAAAAGAATGAATGACAAAAAAACGTCTGCAGAGACAACAAATATTTGATCATCTGTGATATGCGAATCCCCTCCATATCTACAATAATAATCCAGGACAAGCAGCACCCATTTTCTTGCAACTCATCTTTCTTCACTCGACACTCATACTTCACAATCTCGGCCCCAGTACGAGTACGAGTACCATTACCGTATTCTATTCGACGCATGTTCGAGACCAGTTTATAGTCCCCACGCTCAACCGTTCATTTTCGTGTATGTTTTGGCATTATCTTAGTCGTCACAGTTTAACCCACAGACTTCCAATACAATGCCACCCTTGTCGAGGAACGGGTTGATTCGGACCCATAAAAGTGACAAGATGGATGATAGAAGAATTGACCACACAATGATAATGGTTGGCACCTTGTCTTGCTTCCCCATCAAACCCTTGAGGAATGGATACAGATGGACAATAACCCAGAATGCAAAGAAAAGCTTACCGATGAGCGGGCCCCATGAGTCGTAACCATTGTTGATGGCATCTGAAATTCCGACGACTACTCCGATGATGTTTATGATCAATAAGGTCAAGGGAGGGACCAACAACGATGTCCATTTGAAGAGGTAAAGCTCCGAAAACTCCCCATCGTCTCCTCCCTTCGACGTGACTGTGAAATTTGTGTTAACACCAGCCAAAACCTTTAGCAGACCCTGGAAAAGCGCAAAAAGATGGGACGATGCACCACCAATAACCCAGAACTGCTCGTTTCTCCACCAATCGTGAATCCCAACACCTCCCCACTGCATTTCTAGTATACCAGTTGCTGCTATAGATATGAAAAGGGCCATGAAAATGATACTCGCATAGTTGCTTAGCTGCACATCAAACAAAAAACACGTCTCACTCATGTGAACGAAGAACGAACCCAACAAAAGGAACGAACAATTGAACGCTTTCAAAAACTCAGTATGTTACCTCAGGGACGATAAATTGCCCGGTAAGCAGACAGACAGCGGGCAGGGTACAATAAGCAATCAATGGAATCGATGTCAATGGATAAACAACGGAGTTTATGTACGAGAAACGCTCGAGCCATTTCAAACCACATCCATATCCATACCATATTGGACAGTGCCTGCTTAAAAGAATTTCGACAGATCCAAGAGCCCACCGAAGAACTTGGTGTAGACGATCGGACAAGTTAATAGGAGCTGAACCCTTGAATGCTGGCCTTTTAGGAATGCAATAAACTGATCTCCATCCATGACAATGCATCTTGAAACCTGTTAAAATATCCTCTGTAACAGACCCATAGATCCACCCTACCTGCACCGACACAGGAAATAACAATATTAAAGGCGTGTTCAAAAACCGATACACTTCTCAAGTTTGGGAGAGTTGGCTTCATACCTCTTTACCCCACTCGGATTTATCTTCATAACCACAACTGATTACGTGGATGGCTTCTTTCAACAACGAAGCAGATGTCCCGCCTCCAGGCACGCCACCGTCTTCCATAAGGGTGGAAGCAATGAATGCTGGTGATTGCCCAAACTTCTTCTCAAACTTAACTTGGGGCATCAGTGATGATTTCTCATTATCTATTCCTGCATTGGACCCACATGTTGTGAGCAAAGTTTTTGAAATATGCTCGTGTTCAAGTTTCGAAACGTGTACATACCTTCAATACCTTCCTCGATATTTTCGAGAGCGTGAATCTGCTTCGACGCATCTTTGGTCTTTAACTTCTTTTTATCACTGGTCTTTGGTTTAGTCTTCTTTCTAGTTCCACAGCAACAGCAGCACCATTTTGGCAGACAATTACAAGTCCTTCTTGGTGCTTTCTTCTTGGCAGGGGCATCATACCCATAAAGAGCTTGCCTCCTGAAGACACACCCAGTTCCGACATAAATCGGCCCCTGAATGCCATCTAATCCTTTCATGTTGATCTGAAATCACGTTCATAACATAAGAGAGCTTAGCATTTCATTGATTGTTATGATGGGGGGAATAGAACATCTTCTCGAGAATATACGAGTCCAAGAATATGTAATGTTTACTTACATCGAAGAACACAACATTGCGATTTGAGTATCGATCATGCCTATCAATCCCATCAAATCTTTGTGGAAACTGCACATAGCATATTCTTTTTCCAGAAATTGGGTCCATCATGAAGCACATAGCTTCTCTAAGTGCCTTGCTGTTGTTGATGTAGTGATCACAATCGACATTCAAAATGTATGGAGCGTTGGAGATGATTGCCGAGACACGCACCTTGAAGAGTCAAACGGTGTCTATTAGTAAATGGTGAACTGAATGTTATATACAGAGAGATAGAGACAGATATTAACCAGAGCATTCATGGCACCGGCTTTCTTGTGGTGATCAAATCCCGGCCTCTTCTCACGAGATACATATACAAGACGAGGTAATTCATTTCCCTCCAAGTCACGAACCCCGTTTTGACCAAGGAATACCTGCAGAAGATAATTACAGAAAATGCTTACAAAACAATACGCCGAGTATGTATAATGGCTGATCGGATCAAGAAACATCCTCTTACCTGAATCATTCCAGGATGATCCCTGACGTTGTTCCCGGGCCATGGTGTTCCATCCTGCATTGTCCATCCATCTTCCGGAACTTTTTGAGCCATGGCAACAAGCCCATTGATTCGAACTTTAAATTCTTCATAGTCCCTCTGCATAAAGCCATGTCGAATTTAAGGTCCAGAAACTATTTCAATACAGTAAAGTCAATCATGCACACATTTGTAAAATTTTCGAACCTTCATTGCACGTCGTTCCCTGACGAATGTCGGATCAACTTTGTTTTTCAGATAGTCAACCTTCAGGGCAAAATACCACTCTGGGGCTCGAGGTTCAATATTGAACTTCTTGCAGAAAGGAACCCATTTTCTTGCAAACTCAGAAGTTTCCGAAAGGGCTTCAAAAGTAAGCATGGCAGCACCATCATCTGAAACGTAGCATGAAACCTTGTCTACCGGATAATCAACAGCAAGGATAGACAGGACGGTGTTCGCTGTGATGAGAGGAGGCTCCTTCAATGGATCCACCGTACTGACGTAAATGTCTATAGAAGCCAACTCAGATGGCTTGCCATCTTTTTCATATCTGAACCAACATGTAACAAAAGAAAACTAAGATATGGGAGAGAAAGGGAAGGGGAGATCGAGGACGGAGCAGAAGGAGACAGGGGATGTACCTTAACGATAACCGATCAAGGTAAGTTTCTCGGACAATGGGGCACCATTTCGGAAACTGATCCAATATCCATGATGCAGCAAACCATATCTCACATATTACTGATGTTAACCACAGACCATACGCCTCATAGACAGGGTGGAGGATACGATAGTGGAAAAAGAGGCAAAGGATGACAATACGAAGTACAATTATCATTCTGTATGGATTGATCTTGCTCGAGGAGATAGGCAGTTTTCGAGAAAGTGGTTGCCTCCCTTCATCCATCCTACACAAACAATATTAAAAAAAACCATAAGCTAAAGCAAACTATTTCGATGACATTATGCCTCAAGTAGTAGCTAGAGTTCCAAATTCCGATCCTGTATAATGGCACGTTTAGCAATGACTAAACACTATACTTCAGCAGATAGACATACACATCTTGAAGTATATATAAGCCTAAAAAGGGACGTACATAGGCAAATCTGTATCGTCAAACTCGTCGTCGCCTTTTCCACCTCCACCTTCATGCTTAATCACTTGAAGCCTTTCATTTTGTTTCTTCCGCCAGTCCTCCATTCGTTCCTTCCACGCAACAGTTCCATATCCGTACACAGCTAAATCCTTTTTCGGATCCATAGGCCTTGGATTGGCTGCAACATCACGGTTTAAATATCAGTCACTACGAAGTAAACATAAACATACCCAGAAGAAACAATGATAGATGCTAGATTCACTCCTAACAGACTTCATTACGCATAAGAATTCACCGAGCTTACCGGACATGGGAGAATCAGTGAATGGCACTGGATGGACCTTTTTCCCACGGCTAATAAAAGGAGGAATAATTAGAGCGTGCTTATCGGAGGAAATTCCAGCATCCTTCAGATCAAATAGCACAATCAAAGATTAATAAAATTTAAAGACAACGAAAATGGTTGATGGTATAACTGTAAAGAAGAAGAGATTCACCTCTTGGCCATAGGTGAGGAGAGGGATATCAGTCGGAACGGATGAGTCGAGGTCGGAACCCGTATTTCCATAACCATGAGCGTGAGAACCACGACCGACAGCGAGGTGAGGATAGAGCATTGCCTCAGATAAACTGTTGGGATCCTTGTTTGCAATGTCAAACTCATTCTCAAGATCATCAATATCATCTTCTTCTTCATCGCCTTCAACCCGAGGACTGCCTGGAATTGAATCAATATAAATTCTTTGTAAGTCAAAAGAATGAAGTATCATCAATGGACTTTAACTTATATTCGTTTGTTCGATCGTTCGTTCACCTTTGAGACGCTTGTATCTAGTTTTGCACTGAGGACAAGCTTGATTGCCCTCTCTTCTTTCATATTCATAGCAAGGTCTACAAACTGGAAAGGCACATTCATTACACGCAACAAATGGCTCTCCATCAACGGTGACTTCTACCTCATCCCCACAGATCTGACAAATTTGCCCGCTCAACTCTTTCACAGATGTCACCTGCAACCCAGAAAAAGTTAAAGGGATTTACAAGAACAACTTTCTTCCACAAACTAGACTGGTTACTCATTTAACTGACTTGAGAAGGATCTATGAGAAATCAGCACAATATCAGAATCAAAACTTCATAACTCGGATGCATTGACTAGCTCTGAAATCTATAAACTAGATGAGAAAAACGATAATGCCAAGATCTGTTCTATGAAGCTGAATTTCCTTAGAACGTAGACACCAAATAATCTAAGAAAATCTGTAATAGAAGATTGAAACTTCAGATGATAAAGGGTATCAAAGAAAAATGTTCATCACCCACAATCTGCAATTGAAACTTCAAGATCCACACTGGGATTATGAACAAGATGAGGGGCATAAAAAGGAGAGATTCAGAGGCAAACGAAGCGAGAAACATCACAAATTGAGTGGAAGATGCAGCATTTTGAGTAGAAATCAAAAGAAAATGACTTACTCTTGCAACCTCATCAGCATTGATTAGGACGAACTCATTTCTGTTGTGAGAACCAGCAATGAGTCGGCCTTTGGTATCCATTAGAGTTGAAATCAAAAGAAAAGAATGAAAGAACTCAGAATCTTAAAGAAACCCTTCAAGTTCTATCATCACTCTCACAACAAAATCCCCAAACTTCAACAGAGTTTGAAGTTTCAACTCAGTTTCTCAAGCACCCATTTGCATAGCCATCAAAAACCCAAATGGAAAAAAGGAATAAGAACAAGAAGTAGACCCCTAAACAGGTGTTTATGAGAGAAGAAGAGAGTGAGAAAGAGGTGGGGGGGGGTTTAGATATACAAGAAATAAAGGGAATAAAAATAATGAATTGAAGAAAAATAGAAAGTCCATAAAAATTTGAAAGAAAAAGGTAAAGAAATTGGATGTTTGTGCAATGAATGATTCTTTTCTTGTGAGACCCAGTATCGTCCCAGCTGGAGTCTGTGCATTACATGGTGGATTCTCGATCTGTGACAAACACTCCAAGTTTTACACACAGAATCCCCAATGACAGAGATTATCTAATTGGGGGTTTCTTAAAACCACAATTTCAACGCGTAAATCACTAAACGACGATACCCAAAACAAACCCATCAATCCTCCTCATTAAAAAAATACACTCTCCACCAATCCAATTATCAGCAACCCCTTTGGGATGGGACCCAGATCTGCCGTTGCCGGCGGCGGACAAGCGGCGCCGTCGTGGGTTTTGCCTGTTCCGGCCGAAAACAGTACCGATTTGGGGTAAAACTTAATACAAAATTAGAGAGATTGGAGAAAAATTCGAGATGATTGAGAGTTCGGGGGGGCAGAGTAGGGCAAGGGTCACGTGGGGGCACGTGCGGCGAGTCTGCCGACGGTCGTGCGATATATCGCGAGATTTTGAATCTTTAAACTGACTGGACTTGAATGGAATAGATGGGATGTCCCTACTGCTGCCACTTTCCTGCGAAATGACATAAATACCCTTCTCTTTTTAACGTTTATATTCTTTTTATTTTATTTTATTTTTCGTTTTGTCGGTCGACTCTTTTTTTTATTTTATTTTATTTTATTTTTAATGTTAAAACAAAATTAAGAAATGGAAATATAATTTAAATGAATATATATTTAATTCTTTTTTAACCCCTTTTCTATTTTTTACTATTTTTGTCTCTTCATTCTTAATTAATTCTTCATATTTTAAACAAAAATCTAAATTCTTTTCACATTTTTCATCCTTTTACCGTATAACAAAACATGAAATTAGAAACGGTAGTATAATTCTATCGGTTCGAGTCTAGGTCTATCGGTGGGTCGTCTTATAAGTCACTCTCACAAACAAAAAAGACTAACCGCACTTTGAGATCCATAAGTGAGTTAGCTTCGCCTTACATCCTTTGCCAAGTTTGGTCTTTCCCTGATCATGTATGGAATGAATTTCCTTGGATTAACCTTTCTCCCTAATGACGTCAGTTTGTTCGTGTAAGAACCGTTAAAATAAAATAAAAAAACATTTGACTTTTCATCTTTACACCGACCTCTCATTACTCCTTCCCAATGCCTCGACCAACCATTTCTCAAACCTAGTAAGTTGTATTAGTAATTACTACAAAAAGAATAGAAAAAAGTTTTAAATTTTTCGATAGGAGAGGGATGTCAATAAGCATTGTATTTCTTAGACGTATTTATATTTCGAAAAACACTAAATCTAAATTGAAAATTAAAAAATGTATTAAATACTTAATAAAATTTAATATTCTACTTCAAACTGGAATGAATTATTAGGCTAATTATAAATATGAACCTAGTTTTCTAGACTAATCAATAATTATACGAAACCAATTACGCATGATCTCTAATTTCAATCATTTTAAATACAAAACAAAAGATCGATTTGGAAAAGAAAAAAAAAGATTATATATATCAAAATATTTATTTACCCTCAATAATTAGACTTTAAGGTGGCTAATTATTGCCGTCATTTTTTTTTTTTTTTAATTGATATCATCGAGATTATGGATATAAGACTGAATTGGAACTTGAGGAGCAAATTCAAGCCGGTACAAAGAATAGTTAGTAACTCCAGCCTAGACAAACCAAGTAAGTTGAACGTGTCATATATATGATATGCCTTGTGATGTGATCTTATGAATGTGTCATTATATAATATGCAACTGATACGATGGTTATTAATGAAATGTTATGTATAAAATATCATGATGTACTATGATATGTTATATTAAGCCCTTATATGCTACGAAATGTTTTGAAATAAGGAAAAACTACGCCGCACACCTCTATGTCATGATTTGAAAGTTATAATAGGAATGAAATGATTTATGAAAGTTTATTTATACATATTAATGAGTGATATGACGAAAGAATGGGGTTGTCTTGCATGATTTGTTACGCCACCATGAAAATATGGGACCTCATATATATTTATATGTTCACCTGCCTGCATAAGGATGCTTTCTTTTTATGCTGAGTACAGACACGTACACTATGAGACAGAAATGATAATCATGCTTAGCATGGTGCAACAACAGTCGTTGTTCTATCTAGATGTTCAACTGCAGCCTAGAGGAGTTAAGCCGTCCAGTAGGCCCAGACTTGTACATGTGGGTCGTGTGTAAACACATTTAATTTGTCTCGACTGGAAAGCCACCTAAGAGAAGACGGTTTTAAATGATAGGTCTCATTATTCTGCATGTGTTTTCATTCCACAACACCACGGTGGGGTTACTTACTGATTATTTTTTAAAAATACTCAAGTCTTATGCGAAATTTTAATGGTTATCTTTTAACCCGTTTCCAACGTCTCATTTTTCGATACCTCTCGGTGATGGTGGTTCAACGATACAATTCTTTTACCTGCTCAAAAGCATTTGGTATCATCTAAGTAGAGGCTTCTGCACTCAACCTTGTAGCACGATTTTTGTCAAACAAGTGGAAATGTTAGTATAGTGCACTAGAATAATAATTGAAGTATGAATTTGCAATCTTACATACACATGAATTGAACACCTTCTTATTCATCTCGATCATTAGAACTCTTGGTTCCGGCCAAATCTATTACATGTTGGTCGAAGCATCTCAACAATTTTTGTGTACTGTTTCTCGAGACTCTTAATTTTGCAGTCTATAGTTGGCGTCCCTTTTCGAGTGCAACCTAGTAACTTCTCTTCCATCGATCCATGTAGCTACTAAAGCCTAAATGTCTCATTTTTAAGTAATATTTTGCCTTTTAAAATTAAAGTTGATTTATTAGATATTTTAAAGTTATTTATTTATATTTTGGTTTTAAATGTAAAAAAAAAAAAGTGGTTAAAATTAGTATTATGGCGAAACGGCTCCTAATAGGATGTAGTTTGGGGAGGAACAAAACTAGAAGCTAGTGGACGTGTGACGCCAAAATAAAGAAGAGGTACATGAATGACTGAAGACCATATTCGAATGAGATTGATCCCGAGAATATGATAATTAAAAAATGCTTAAATAAATTGATAATTACCACCTATATTATTTCGATGGTTCAATCTTATTGAAACGATTTTATGTTGAGTGACATTTTCAAGTTTTTCCTAAAAAACACGAGTAAGGACAAAACATGCTAATAGAACTAGTGACTATATGATGATGGTATGTACTCAGTAGAACCACTTCAATGGCAAGTAGCTAACATGATTATATTATTAGGGAATCTGAATTTCAAATCTTGATATAAATATGGAGCACCGGGTATTATATATATTATATATATTGTAAATATAAATAATGGTGAAGCTACTCAATTATTAGTAAAGTTTAAATGAAATATTATTATTATTTTGGTGACCAATAATGCAAGTTCCTCTCCTTTTTGGATGGTTGATTTGCTTTTATTGATTTCCCTTTTTTCCTTTTTTATTTTTCAATAATTATTTCTTAAAGTCACTTTTATTTGACACAAACATTAGTTTTCACAATCATAAACATATAATTAATTAGTGTTAATTAATAATGCATTTTCATTACCTCTCACCAACCTTCTTAAAGGCATGCAATCCCAACTTAATTAAATATAGATTACCATAGTTGATTCAATTAGGGATTCATTATTTAATTGGAAAATACGAAAGAAAAAAAAACCCTTTAAAACATTTTAAAATAAAATAATAATAATAGCAATGCAGCGAGAAAAAATGATACGAATCCAGCAACTGATCATTTGCATGAAATCGAAGGAGCAATTACAAGAAGTAATGCAAAGAAGATTTAAACATCAAATTAAGAAAAGAACGAGTGACAATAAATATCACAATGTGATTCCAACACTTTTTGTCTTTGGTAGTTAAACTATTATGTAATTTCTTATTTTCCTTAATTTGTATTTAATAGCTTTTAGGAGTAGTTTGCTGGATTATGTTTGAATTATATTTTTGGTATAGCATGTAATATTCAAGTTTAAAACGATGGTAAAATACAAAAACTTTATGGGTTTAATGTTTCTTGTTCAGACCTTACTTTTGGTTTCATGTTAAAATCGATTCATTCGATTAGTCATGATCAAGCTAATTCTAGAGAGTTGTCTTGGAATCTAAGAGTGACCATCATAGATTTCAAGTTCGATCTAAGAGCTATTCATCTTCTAACCAACTCTTGGTTGAAATTAATTCGTTAAGTTAGCTTTTTTTGTGAAATTTTTATTTATTAACTCGTTTCTTGTATTATTGGATGTTTTAATAGAGGCTAGTGTGTAGCCATGTCTTTTGTTTATATTAATGATGTTTAGTGCATTTTTTTATTTATTTAATTAAGTGAAAAATTTTAGTATTTGAAAAACACATGAAATCTTATTCAATTGCATTGATTTGATAGGTCGATCTAAATTAAAAAAAAAATGTGAAAAATTAAATATATCAAAAAAACGAATGAGTCAAAGTAATTCCACGTGGATATAAAAAATAAAATAAAATTATAGAATATGACCCATTGGAGTGAGATGTCATTTTGCGCTTAGGTTAATGGATGGTTTCTATAATTAAAATACAAAAAAATAAAAAATAAAAAAAAATTAG